TGATGGCCATGGTCCCTCTAGGTGGCTCAATGTAAATAAATCTAGGATGTATGGATTCATATGGCATGACTCCCCGAAAAACATCACTAAGCTATAGAAGTACCATGGTATAAAATAAACACATTTCTTTTTTTTTTTTCAAAAGTATATAATTTATTTTTTTTAAATGTCTCATTTTACTCTTAAAGTATCTTTTTTTTAATATGAAATTTATTGTCAAATTGGTTTCCATACAACACCCAGTGCTCATCCCAAAAGGTGCCCTCCTCAATACCCATCACCCACCCTCTCCTCCCTCCTACCCCCCATCAACCCTCAGTTTGCTCTCAGTTCTCAACAGTCTCTTATGCTTTGACTCTCTCCCATTCTAACCTCTTTTTTTTTTTTTTTTCCTTCCCCTCCCCCATGGGTTCCTGTTAAGTTTCTCAGGATCCACATAAGAGTGAAACCATATGGTATCTGTCTTTCTCTGTATGGCTTATTTCACTTAGCATCACACTCTCCAGTTCCATCCACGTTGCTACAAAAGGCCATATTTCATTTTTTCTCATTGCCACGTAGTATTCCATAGTGTATATAAACCACAATTTCTTTATCCATTCATCAGTTGATGGACATTTAGGCTCTTTCCATAATTTGGCTATTGTTGAGAGTGCTGCTATGAACATTGGGGTACAAGTGCCCCTATGCATCAATACTCCTGTGTCCCTTGGATAAATTCCTAGCAGTGCTATTGCTGGGTCATAGGGTAGGTCTATTTTTAATTTTCTGAGGAACCTCCACACTGCTTTCTAGAGCAGCTGCACCAATTTGCATTCCCACCAACAGTGCAAGAGGGTTCCCGTTTCTCCACATCCTCTCCAGCATCTATAGTCTCCTGATTTGTTCATTTTGGCCACTCTGACTGGCGTGAGGTGATACCTGAGTGTGGTTTTGATTTGTATTTCCCTGATAAGGAGCGACGCTGAACATCTTTTCATGTGCCTGTTGGCCATACGGATGTCTTCTTTAGAGAAGTGTCTATTCATGTTTTCTGCCCATTTCTTCACTGGGTTATTTGCTTTTCGGGTGTGGGGTTTGGTGAGCTCTTTATAGATTTTGGAGACTAGCCCTTTGTCCGATATGTCATTTGCAAATATCTTTTCCCATTCCGTTGGTTGCCTTTTAGTTTTGTTGATTGTTTCCTTTGCTGTGCAGAAGCTTTTTATCTTCATAAGGTCCCAGTAATTCACTTTTGCTTTTAATTCCCTTGCCTTTGGGGATGTGTCGAGTAAGAGATTGCTACGGCTGAGGTCAGAGAGGTCTTTTCCTGCTTTCTCCTCTAAGGTTTTGATGGTTTCCTGTCTCACATTCAGGTCCTTTATCCATTTTGAGTTTATAAAATAAACACATTTCATGATTAAAATAGCTCTCTTCTGTAAATGATGCCCTTCATGCTTGAAAATCTGGGCCAGAGCCAATCCTATGCAGCAAGAAAGGACCTGGAAAGCTATGATGGCAGTTTCAGACTTCTCCATGCTTCACCTTTGTCTCACAACTACCTGTATCCTTGAAATTATCAAGTTGGATATTAGCTAAAACCTGATTTTTGTGTCTTTTTTAATATTCCATCCCTTTGTGTTTTATGCATATGTGTTTATGTGTGTGTGTATACACATATTTTTAATTTATATGGTAAAATGTGAACATGTCCCAAATAACCCTCTAGTTCCATTTCTATTATCAAATCACCTTTAAGGTTTGTAGCATATCCTTGCATGTATATTCACCCTTGTCTACCCAAACCTAAAATATAAATGTAAGCAAGAACTCTGATTAACTACATCCATAGCACCTAGAACTATGTGGTTGGCACATGTTCACTGAATGAATGAATGAATGAGAATATAAACATATATTTTTTTCTTCATATAAGTGGGATTATGCTATATGTAGAGGCCAGCTTCCTTTTTCAATAAGAACATATCTTTTAGATCCAGTTCATACAGCTCTACCTCATTTGTTTTAAAGGCTGCAAAGTAGCATTTTATAGTATCACTATAATTTATTAATTATATATATACATGTTATATATATAACATATATATATGTTTGTGGGAACACCTGGGTGGCTCAGTCGATTGAGCATCCACTTCAACTCAGGTCATGATCTCATAGTTCATGAGTTTGAGCCCTGCTCTGGGCTCTCTGCTGCCAGTGAGGAGCCCACTTTGGAGCCTCTGTCTCCCTCTCTCTCCCTGCCTCTCTCCCGTGAGCACATGCTCGGGTGTGCTCCCTCAAAAATAAACATTAAAAAAATTTATGAAAAAATACAGGTATCTGTTTGTGCTATGATTTCCACACATTAGATCCCTAGAAGTAAAATCATAGGGTTGGTTTTAGGGGCTGCTTTCAAGTTACATTCTTTTTTCAATTTTGCCAATTTGATAAAAATCTCATGTCTTTTTAAGCATCTTTTCTCTATTGCTCAGTATTTTTATTTCTATCATGAAACGCTTTTTACAAATTTCTAAAAAACTCATATATCTTACTAATTTATAATAACTATTAAATATAAAATACATTATTTTACATGCTATTGTTACTCTGTCTCACATTTTAACTTTTTGGAGATGTCTTTGTTGGTCAGAAGTTTTTAATATTTAGACATCCACATGTGCCACATGTTCCCTTTATAACCTTTGGAGTTTTGCATTTTGCTTAGAGCTTCTCTACCCCCAAGGTTATTTAGATATGCTGTCTTATATTTTCTTTAATGTATTGAGAGTTTTGCTTGATATAGTTAAATTATTAATCCATCTAGAATTTTATGGTGGATTTACCAGATGGAAACACACTATTTTAAAACATTTTAAAATGCAGTATAACTTCCCATATACAGATCTAGATCAGAGCTAGTTAGCATATGAAATATAAAATAATTGATACCTAAGTAGTGATTGGGATGAGGAAGAATGTTAAGGAAGAAGGAAAACTTGAGTGTGATTCCCAGTTTGGGGCTTGAGACTGTGAAGCCATATATAAATATATAGGGAAGATGGCAGAGTTTCTGACATGTTTAGTAAGAGATATCCATGGGATATTAGAATAGGAACATACAACTGCATCTGGATATGGCCAGAAGTCAGAGGGTAAGATTTGGACTACATAGATTTAAGTGACAAAGGCAAAGAAGTGTTATCTTCCCAGGGTAAATATTCAGAATGAAAAAAAGAAGATGGCAACTGACTGAGACTTGGAGAATGTAAACATTTCAAGGTTGAGTAAAGGAGACAGCAAGGGAGACCATTAAGAGCAGCTAAGTAGGTGGGGAAAAAAAAGTCAAGTGAAGAAAACCAGAGCAGGATCGCATCATGAAGCCAAAAGGAATGAAAATTTCAAGATTGAGAAAATGATAAGTTATATCAAATATAAAAAATGAGTAGTGTGAAAAGGTAAAAAAAAAAAAAAAAGGAATTGGTTTGAGGACTGCCTTTAATAAATGGCAATCCTGGTAAAAACATTTTATTACCTATGTTGCAACAATAAACAGACTACAATGGTTTGAAAGTCAAAAGAGAAACAGTGAATACAGATTAACATTTCCAGATGATAGGTGGCAAAAAGAGTTTTACTGAATAGGAGTTATTGGAGAGGGATAGGTTTGAGAAAGGTTTTTTGGTAAAGATGAGAAGGACTTTGCAGTTCTTTTAAGCTGAAGAGACAGTGTCCACTGAAAGTGAGAAGTTAAAGATAACACAGCAAAGAAAAGGGATAACATACAGAGTAAAAGGAATGGGTCCAAGGCAAGCAGAGAAGGGGTCTCTAGGGAACAAGGGATAGAATGATGAATATGGATATGAGGGGGAGGGCTGAGGTTTATTCTGGGTGGTGAAAGGAAAGGCAAAGGATGGGAACTGAGGGACTTTAAGCATGAAGGACTCTACTTCCGTTCAGTAAACACATTGCGCTAAGAATGAGCACGACAGGGTAGGGAAAAATGCGGGAGAAGTCTGGTGAAGCTTGGAAATGCTCACTTTAGGAAAACAGAAGAAAAGTGGCTCAGAAGTTCCAGGGTGATCCCAATGATGCAGGTAAATTCAGAGTCTATGAACGTAAAGTGACTCGTATACCACTATGTGATCTTCTTTGCTAGTGCTTAGCATCTGGCTAGAGGCATATATATGATTCAAATGATTCATGGATGGAATTATGCCAGATAGTCAGGGATAAGTTAAGTAAGTTAAGGTTACTGACAAAAGAAAAATTGGTCATGGTGTCCTGGCTATTTCAGAAAGAAAATAAAACCAGGAGAATATGGATCAAAGACAATAATAAATGGAGAGTAAAGAATTAGAGTTCTTGATTATGTTGAAAAACTAGTATTCATCTATTTTCTACACATGTAAAATCTACCAACAAACATCATTTTAATACCCATGGACATTCTAAGACACTGTCTTTTCACTTAATGAAAAGAGAGGTTGACAGAAAATAATCACGAGACATTGGTAAACCAACTTTTGTTTGAACTATTTATGAATAGCCAGGAAGCTCTCAAACCAGAAATAGCGTGTACAGGTCTTTTAAAAAAATGATGAAGATTATGCACATGAGGTGATTACATTTCATTTTATCTAGTATATAAGAAAAATTGTAAATTGTTCATATCTTTTCAGGGGGAAGAAGTGCAGACAGAAGAGAAGTGGATGAAATCACGAATATTTACCTATGTTCAATTATATCTTAATACTGCTTAGTCAATATTAGACATAGCTTTGCGACAACAGTTTAGAAATTTTCCTGTCTTTATTTTGGCTAATTTAGAGAGACTTCAATAAAATAAGACTTGGAAGGAAGAAAGAGTACTTTTAATATGAAACAAAATAGCTAAAGGTTTCTCCATATTAAATTATCTTTATTCTCATGAACAAAACATATTAATATTTTTTGAATGCTACATTTAAGCTTAAAAACTTACTCATTCCTCCAAAATAAGCTGAAAAATAACTTCCTCTTACCTGCCGTAAAGTACGTGCCACTATGCTTTCTAATACTGGTCCTCTATCTTCATGCAGCAAATGAACTTCATCAAGAATAAGGAGCTTTACAATTTGGGAAAGAGCTACGTCTCCAACACTCTTTCTTGTCACTACATCCCATTTTTCTGGTGTGGTAACAAGCATCTGTAAGATAAAATGAATTTAAAAAGAGAAAGTATCACATGGATGATATAAATTTCACCTGTGCCATTCAAAAAGAAATATAATTAGCAGGCTTTATGCAGATCAAATAAAAAGTGTTCAAAATATCCTGGAATGATATCTAATTCACTGTAAACAATGTCACTTCAAGAGTGATATTTCACTCCACTTAAGTTGTGATATTAAGCAGTTATTTAAAACTCAATGAAGATAGTCTGTCAATAAATTGTTATGAAATTATGTTAAAAATACATACCTTCTTTTTTTTTTTTTTATTTTTTTTTATTTTTTTTTTCAACGTTTATTTATTTTTGGGACAGAGAGAGACAGAGCATGAACGGGGGAGGGGCAGAGAGAGAGGGAGACACAGAATTGGAAACAGGCTCCAGGCTCTGAGCCATCAGCCCAGAGCCCGACGCGGGGCTCGAACTCCCGGACCGCGAGATCGTGACCTGGCTGAAGTCGGACGCTTAACCGACTGCGCCACCCAGGCGCCCCCATACCTTCTTTAAAAAGCATCTTATGATATAAAAAACAAATGAGTCTATATTTTAAACTATATACACTGATGATGGCCTTTATTTGAAAAGAGACAAAGAAGTGAAACAAGTGTTAAAAGGAAATGAAAAGGAAACCAAGAATCCACTCTAGGAACAATAACCTGTCTATACCTATCCAAATTTGAAGGAAGCTTCACTACTAACACAGTTTTTAAAAAGCTGCTCTTTAAAATCAACTAATATATACAGTACTTTTATACCAAAAAGTAATACATATAATACATATAACTGGCACATAATGGTAACCCAAAGAGTGAGTCACCGAAGATTCTAGGGCATGCAGAGCAGGAGATAAGCCTAAGGCATTCATGTGAACTTCACAGAAGCAGACCATTTAACATGAAACTGTAATTATAAATCCCTTTGTTTGTCACATACTAAATTGTTTGCGTACTCTAAACTTACCCTGTTGTGAGAAAAAGATGACAAGTTTAATAATATCTTCTACTATGGTAATACTACATTAGGAAAGAAGCCAATATGTGGATAAATCAAAGAATACAAGATAACAAACAAAATCAAAGCTTTTCTTAGCCAATAGATCAAGATTAGAGAGACAGATGATAATCACAATTTATCTGTGCTTTGAGGGGGTTGACTAAGATAAGGGTCAGGTTATTCTGTCAACATTTTTGTTATGTTATTTCATGCCTGATTAAGTCAGCTCTGGGGACAATAACTTTTTTTTTTATTGGTGCAAATTATGTATAAATTCTTATCCACAATCTAAATTTATCAATATGATCTGTTGCATTATTAGTGATATCACTGCTTTCATTATGAAATGAACTATATCAACCACAAAGTTTAGCAGCTAAACAGAACATTAATTAACAAACTATAATGAAACAGATTAAGCAATTCATATCAAAGATATGACATACTACAAATCCAAAGCTACTTAGTTAATTTGCTAACGCTAAATGGCAATGTTGAGATCACATCAAATTTTATAGAAAAGATGTGCTGCTGGAATTACGTATAAAAAGATGTCTAATAAATTCTGAGATCTAAAATAGGTAAAAAACATTCACTATGCATTAAAATCTCTTTCAACAAATTTAAAATGAACTTCTACTTTGAATAATGATAAACTTAAAATAACCCAGGATATATTAATATAAATATACCCAGGGATCACTTACTAACAACCCTTTTCATTAAAAGTCCTGGAAAACATGCTTATTTGTTTTCAAAAACAACAATTTCCTACACTGTATATTTACTATAAAAGTATAAAATAAGTAAGCTTATTACTTGCAAGTGTTAGGAAAGATACAGGATACACTTTTTAAAATTTTATTTAAATCCAAGTTAGTTAACATACGGTGTAGTAATGGTTTCAAGAGTAGAACTTAGTGATTCATCACTTACATATAAGAACACCCAGTGCTCATCCCAACTAGTGTCCTCCTTAATGCCCATCATGCATTTAGCCCATCCCTCCATCCAACACCCCTCCAGCAACCCTCCACATATATGTTTGTTCTCCATATGTAACAGTCTTTTATGGTTTGCCTCCCTCTCTGTTTTTATCTTATTTTTCCTTCCCTTCCCCTATGTTCATCTGTTTTGTTAATATGAAGCCTGGCTACCTACCTCAACATGAACTTAGAATATTATGCTAATACTTTCTTATAATTAACTTTCAGAGATAACAATGCGGTAACAAACTGTAAAATCAAATTTTTCAGATATCAAAAAGCTATACCAAGGAAATCTTAAAATCCACTTTAGCGTTTTATTATACTTTACTTTCAGCATAATGAGAAGTGGCTTCATTTAAATTACTATTCATCACTTCAGTTCCCTGAACTTAAAACGGCTAGAACATAAAGTGTCACATTTGCTTAATGAATTGGAACTCATGCAAGACATTTCCATCTGCTCTTGTATCAGGGCACGGGTTAACTGTCAGCATTTTTACTGTCAACTTAAATTTCTCTAAATACATGTACTTATTCCCTCAGAAACATAAAAAATCATTACTTGAAACTGCTCCAATTTTATCCTGTCCACTGGGAAAATGGCATAGTTGTGATGCTATATACATATTACGATCATGCCAAAAATTCAGCGTATTGAGTTAAAATGCTCATCCATTTGACAAAAGAACCAAGGACCTAAGACTTGCCAGAACCAACTAATCTAGTTACGCACTTGAACATTAATATTATTATTTTACCTTTTAAAACACTGTGACCTAAGGGAAGTAGCTTTATCTCTTCATTTTTTCCAGCTTTGAGATATTGAGATGTAATCTATGTAAATTTAAGGTGCACAGGTGATGATTTGATGCAGATACATAATTCAGAATGATTACCACAAAAAGGTTAATTAACCCTTCTATCCCCTCACACTATTACATGTGGGTGTGTTATGTGTGTGTGGTGATAACATTTAAGGTCCACTCTATAAATAAATTTCAAGTATATAACACAGTATTGCAAATTAAAACTGGCATGCTATACATTAGATTGTCAGAAGATATTCATTGTATAGCCATAAGTTTATACCCCTTGACCAATATCTACCCCACTCCCCTATCCTCCAGACCTTGGCAACCACCACTCCACTGTTTAAGTTCAGCTTTTTTATATTCCACATATAAGTGAGAACACACTTGTTTCTCTGTATTGGTTGTTCTGTCTCACTTATTTTATTTAGCATAACGTCCTCAAGTCCATCGTGTTGTTAAAAAGTCTGAGTTACCTTCCCTTTTATGGCTAAACAGTATTCTATTGTACATATACACTGCATTTTCTTTATCCATTCATCCACTGAGGGGCACTTGGGTTGTTTCTTTGTCTTGGCTATTGTTGATAATGCTGCAAAGAGCATGGGGGTATATGAGGATGAATTTTGTCAAATGATTTTTTTTCTGCATCCATTAAGATGATCATATGATCATCTTTCTCTTTCATTCTACTAATATGATCCTCTCTTCCATTCTATTAATATGAATATGATCCAATATTAATATTTAGATTTTCTATTTCTTAATGAGTCAACAGGTTGTATGTTTCTAAGAATTTATACATTTCTTTTAGGTTATCCAATTTGCTGATGTTTAGTTGTTCATGATATTCTCTCTTGTGATCCTATGTATTTCTACAGTGTCAGCTGTAATGTTTCGTCTTTCATTTTTTATTTATTTTAGTCTTTTTTCCTTAGTATAGCTAAAAGTTTGTCAATTTTGTTTATCTTTTTTAGTAAACCAGCCCTTATTTTGTTGACATTTTCTATTTTTTTTAATGTCTATTTCACTTATTTCTGCTCTGATCATTGTTATTTCCTTTTTGTACTAACTTTGGGTTTAGTTTGTTGTTCTTTTTCTAGTTCCTTGAGGTATAGGTTAGGTTGTTTGTCAACTTTTTCTGCCTTAATGTAGACATATCATAATAAACTTCCCTCTTAAAACTGTTTTTGCTGCATCCCATACGCACTTAAACATTACTATTAAAAACTTTCCTTATATCTGTATATAGTAAAATTACAGTGTTTAGTTTTCTATGATTGTATCATGACTATTATGAATGAAATCGTATGGTATTTGTCTTTCTCTGACCTATTTCACTTAATATTATACTCTATAGTTCTATCCATGTTACTGTAAATGACAAGATTTCATCCTTTTTTTGAGTGAATATATTCCATTATATATATAAAATACCACTTCTTTATCCATCCGTCAGTGGACACTTGGGCTATTTCCATAGTTTGGCTATTGTAAATAATGCTACAATAAACACAGGGTGCATGTGTCACTTGGAATTAGTGTTTTTGTATTTTGGGGACAAATATCCAATAAGTGTGATTACTGGAACATAGGGTAGTCCTATTAATATTTTGAGGAATCTTCATACTGTTTCCCACAGTGGCTCCATTAACTTGCAATCTCACCAACAGTGCACAAAGGTTACTTTTTTGTCTGCATCCTCTCCAACGCTTGCTTTTTCTGTTTTTTTTTTTTTTTTATTTTAGCCATTCTGACAAGTGTGAGGTGATCTCATCGTAGTTTTAATTCACATTTCCCTGATGAGTGATGTTGAGCATCTTTTCATGTGTCTGTTAGCCATCTAGATGTTTTCTTTGGAGAAATGTCTGTTCATGTCTTCTGCTCAGTTTTAATTGGATTGTTTTTTGGGTGTTGAGTTGTATAAGTTATTTATTTTGGATACTAACCCTTTATAGGATATGTCATTTGCAAGTATGTTCTCTCATTCAGTGGGTTGCCTTTTAGTTTCGTTGATTGTTTGCTTTGCTGTGCAGAAACCATTTATTTTGATGTAGTCCCAATAGTTTAGTTTTACTTTTATTTCCCTTCCTTAGCAGACATCTCTAGAAAAATGTTGTTACAGCCTCTTGAGGTAGGCCTGTATTACTATAAACTTCCCTGTTAGAACCACTTTTGCTGCATTT